GCTTGCCAGGCAGGCGCTTTTGCCGCTGAGCTAAATCCCCAGCCCCCACATTTCTGATCTTATTCCTGTTTAGAAAATGCCACCTGCCTGCTCTGTCTACACAAGGCGCTTGAGGTCTGCAGGGCACACATGCAAACTCACAGCCGTTGAGACTGTCCCGTGCCTTTGTCCCTGAGCTTCTCCCACTGCAACTCCTCTGGTCTAGCCAGCTATTTTTCCAGCACTCGGAATTGGACCCATGACCTTCACCATGGGCTACATCCTTAAACTTTTTTTTTTTTTAATTTTGAGACAATGTCTTGCGAAGTTGCTACATTGCCCAGGCTGGGCTGAATTTGCAATCCTCCTGCCTCAGCTTCCTAGAGTGTTAGGATTACAGGCATGCACAATAATGCTGGCCAACTTTTAAAACTCACCGTAAAAGTCAAAGAATTCCCACCTGGTGTGATGGTGCACACCTGTAATCCTAGCACTGGGGAGCAGAGGCAGGAGAATCGAGGTGAGTTTGAGGGCAGCCTGGGCTACATAAGTGAGTTCAAGGCCAGCCTGAACTACATAACGTGATCCTGTCTCAAAAAACCACAAACAAACAAACAACAACAACAACAAAACCCCAGAATTCTCTGATCCTCCAAGCTGAAAATTATTTCTTAACCCTCGCAGTTGGCCCCTCAACACTTTCTACTAAAAAACTCCTCCCAATCCAGGCGCGGCGGCACACAGCCCAGCACTCCAGAGGCTGAGGTAGGAGGAGCTCCACGAGTTCAAGGCCAGCCTGGGCTACACAGCACACCCTTGTCTAAAAACCTCACACTAGATTTATAAGCAGGGTAGGTTTGCTTGTCTTCTGCACTACAAACCCTTTAGGGTCCAGGAATAGCTTCAAAAATTTATCTTTGCACAGAGCAATACACTATATCAGTAAAATGTGCTGGTTTTATAAACTGTTAAAATTCTGTAGAGAGTCCGAAATTTTAATACAAAATGATCAATATTTTAAAAACCCGTTTTACAATAAACTTGGCAATGTTATGCTCTCAAAATTCCTCATAGCTTGTACCAAAAGCAAACGGTTACAATGTTCGCCAGCCCAAGTCTTTATGCGAATTTAGAACGAAATTCCCGAAACACAGGAGGGGATATACTTGAAATCTTCTACCTAGATCTACAGCTAAGAACGCTTAGTGCAAAGAATTCATTTACGCAGCCTAAGTCACAATTCTTTTTTAAAAGGCAAAGTTAAAAGGGTGGGGGAGAAAAAAAAGGAAGGGGGAAAACGCAGAAGTTTTGCAAGAAGAATGACTCGAAATACCAGGAGAAGGAACAGACACACGAAAAGACAAAAATAACAGCAAAAAGCAGAAATACAACCAAATCCTAGTCAAACGAAGGGGCCAGGCGATGAGATTTAGTCGCTGCACTCCCTTCCTCGCCCCTCGGCTGCGCGGTCGTAGGAAGGCGGGTGCGCGGCACTCTCCCCGGCCGGAGGCCGTCGCCGACGCTCGCTCCGCGGCTCGCCCAGCGAAAG